ATGTTAGTCAAACTTACTTGCTCCGCGCTGATAGGCCGTAAGTTAATACGCTATATTAAGCTTGTACTAAGCCGAAGGTCTTCATCTATAGCGTTTTCGTTATCCGGTTACCTTGCAGAATGAGCAATTGGTAGACGGATTGAAATCACTTACGCCCACCCAAGGTTTTTACTGCGCCAAAAGTTTTACCCCACATACCTTTAAAAAAACCCATGATTACCCTCATTTTGCAACTTTTACTCATGTCGTTGTGAGCTCACTGGATATCTGTTGATCACTTGTCGTCCATTTGCACGATTAGGTGGGACGTTACAGCTCTACCGGTACCACTGTTGAGTGAGTGTCTCCGGTAAGTGTTATTTGTACAGTTTCCGTTTACCTATTGCAAACGACTGGATAGAAATCACGACGTTCTCGAAATTTATACACTTGTCATGGTGAAGTGCAGCATAACTGCGAGATACATATAGCAAGGGATAGTTAAGCGGGTGAAGACGAAGAAATCGTTGTTTAATGTACTGTAAGGGTCTGCCGCTATTTCGCAATGATGATTCTGAGCCTGGGTCTACTCAAGGCTTCAGAAGATGGTAGGGCATAATTGGTTGAATTATCGCCCTTAAACTCGGCATAAAATCTCTCCTTGCATTCCAGTGACCTTTATGCCTGGATCCATGGTGGATGCAGCCTTCAAAGACGACGGAGAGTGCTCATTGTTTTGGGCACGAAGACGAATAGCGAGAAGAGTTATAGACATTTTCATCTCACTGGAACCTCACACTGATGAAATTCGTTCGGTAGGGAACCATGTTTGTCATAGCCAAGGTTTCTGAATTAAAATCAATCTGTTCCTTCAACTGACGTGAGTTGGTTTGTTTTCTTGATTGTGTCATCAGCGGCTCAAGCCTGGTAGCTCATTAAAAGCAAGCGGGGCAAAACCGAGGGGATAGTAACCGCAAAAAATCCGTGCCGTTTCTAGTACGACAGATAATGGCGAGAGACGGTCGCTTCCTTTAAAACTCTGTCGATGATTGATGCCCAAACTTAATACCATCCAAAACGGGGAACAAAATGTGGAAGTATTCTGATAGCTTCGGTAAGACGTGTCATAACGCCATGGTTATTAGTCTCGCCGCCTGAAGCTCCCATCGATGGATGCCTCACCTCACTGGGCTGATAATTTGTTTCATCTACTTACTATCCTTGCGTGCAGTGGAGGGTGCTGTCGGGGTTTTCATAGCCAGTGTTTATACTAGTATGTAATGGAACAACCCTGTGGACAAAAAGAGTGCATAATCAGTTTATGGATTTTGGCCGCATTCACCCTGTGCACAAAATTGGGATCCAGTATGTGTACGTCGGGGGAGAAGTTTCCACCCATGGGCAACTGGTTCCACTGTTAAGGGGCCATCTCTGCAAATAAACTTGGAAATTGTTCTGATTCATGTATCAATCGTGCTCAAGGATCTGTCACGGCCCACATGAGTGCATGCACTGGCTTCGTTAATCACGAAAGGAAACGTCGTGGGGTCACAAAAGTCTGATTTTACCGAAGACTAACGGAATGCGACTGTTAGTCCTCAGGTCAACTGTCACTGGCGCTCCGAGATCCCGGACTTCATAGAATGGGACACACGACAACAGTGCCTTTGGCGCTTACTAGAAGCACATCCAAACTATTTTCACCGAAACTATAAGGGTTTCGAAGCTTTAGGTGAGAGTAATTTCAAGGTCACGGATTATCACCGATTTGCACTTTGCTACTGTAACGCAGTTGAAATCCGACTGTACCTGATTGTATGCCTATCATATAACATTATGTGTGCCTCTCCCTCCCTCTCTTCCCCTATTACAGGTACCACGGACGAGGCACCACGGGCCCTGGACAGGGAAGAGTATCCCGCTTGTACACCCCCCTAACTGACCTTGACCCAACCTTGTACACCCCTCTCCTACCGGTTTCGGTTCGGGTTAATACACGTGCGTTGTTGCTACACTCCGGTCTTCTTCCCTGTACCACCCGACCTGTGCGCATGTGTGCTGTGTATACTGTGTGGATTCATTAATACCAGTCCGTATATCTGCACATTTCAGAACTGACGTGTGCCGTCCTCTCGAACGTCGAATACCGCTGACTTCCTGACATCCCACGCTACACTACCTGTTTACGCTTAAACACATTTTGGCATTCTTCGGTGTTCAGTAAGAATAAAGTAAAGTATGAATGATATCTAATGTATATTCTACCATGAAAGATTGCTCATTGAAGTTTGTTTGCTTCACATTCATCAGGTTATCAAATGAAACGATTTTGTTCGGCGAACGTGGACACAATACATTTTCCAGTAGAGCTCAACTCCTAATAAGTACAAAATGGTTGGACAACAGCAAGAACTGTGCATTGACGATGCGAGGGCCAACTCCTCGGATGACTCCTTTTTCCTAGATGTGCGTAACTAACATGTAGATAATACAGCGTCACGATATGACTGCAGGTAAATTGCCAACATTATTGTATCATTCCAGTTATGAATACGATGCCCTACAGGTGATGACTGCCATAAAGCGGTCACCATGATAACAACAGCCGTTGTCACTCAGTTTGAATAATTATTGTAAATGCTAGGCCGGCGTCTATGTGCGACGCTGATAATGAGACCTCACCTGTACACAGTAACATAATCCGGTCGCCAACGACGGTCTTTCACACCCATAACTATACGCGCCGCTGCTCATCTTTGCTACCTATAGCTAATACTAGGCAATTATCCATGTGGGACAGTAAAAATGGGGCCTCAACTATGCGTGAGAGCTTAATCTGACGGCCTGTTATACCCACTGCGGTACCCAATGTCGCCTTACTTGGCTACTTATCGTACCCACTGGGTCCGTGTCCATGTGCGTTGATTAACAGGTAACCCAATCTAACCTAATATGTCATACTCGTAATCGTACGCGTTGTTGTTTACTTTTGCGACTTATGATAAACACCGGGCCAGTATTTATGGGAACCGACGAATATGGGACATAAGCTATGCACACATACCTAATCTAACAGCGAATGACGAACCTCATACTCATAACCGTACGCGATATCGCCTATCTTGATTACGTTTCGAAGCAGATAGGACAGTGCTTATATGCAACACTGATTATTAGGCCTCAACCATGCACGGTGTCCTAATCTGACGGCCAACGAGGGCCTGCCATAATCAAAGCTGTGCTCGAGGTCACGTAGCCAGGCTAGATATGGCAACTACCGGGCCCGTACACATGCTCGTAGCTGGCTATGAGGTCACGTAGCCAGGCTAGATATGGTAACTATCGGGCCCGTACACATGCTCATAGCTGGCTATGATGCCACAACTACACACGATATACCAATCCAACTACCAACGGCGGTCCTTCATATCCATACGTGGTCCACCTGCCAATGCCACGCCTGGAAGCACACAGCCACCACTAACAAATTATTTTCCTTTCTTGACTGCATCGGTACAAACATAATGTGAAATCAATCCAGCTCCCAGTTTTTTTACTCCACAGGGTTTCTGAAATAAATGTATAATGTATACATAGTTTACTATAGGGTACAATCAATTAAGACTCGTACCCATCTTCCGCGATACCACTGAAAACACATAAGTAAACAAAGTTGTACTGGCTAACTCACCGCACGCCTAACATATTCCTTTGTACACAATTTCCAGTTGGTGTCCTCGCTGAACCTTGAGGCTCACTGTTATAAAGGTAAACTCTTTACTTGCTCAATTAGGCCAGTTGGTGACAACGAGGGAGATGCACGTACATCGATGATTCGATAGTGGGATTATGCAACCATATAAATTATTGGGCGCGGCGAAGTTAAAGCTATAGAGGGATGTAAAATTTTCGGTCGTAAGACCAAGTGGTGTAGACTCGAGCCCTTGGATCCAAGGGCCACACGTGTTCTCAAACGTGCATCCATCAATGTATCCGTAGTAAAGATCCAGTGAGAAGTTGGGTGCTTAGCGTAAAATCCGCCCATTAAGGGCACTAAATCCATATTCGTTCGATTTCTGCTCCCTGATACCGATACAATATAACTTGATAAAATCAACAGCTCGGTCCTCCTTATCGAAACTCGTAACCACCACATATTCAACCACAGTAGCAATCTGGCCATCATCGCTACCTGTCATAATACGGATTCGCAAACACAGCCATACGAGTTACGGTTTTGAGACAACTAATGTCAAATACCCTGGTTCCGCTTCTAAAACAGGCCAAGTCTCACAGCCATACAACAGAATAACCCGTTCTTCAACTTGATACATATGTTACTTGATATTCATGGATAGATCCTCTTAGGGGGCAAGATAGCTCTAGCGGTTAGGGCGCGAATCTACTGACCGGAAGGTTCGAACACAATCTCCGCCTCTCTACTTTCCCTGTCTTGGTTAAGCAACCTGGCAGTACTTCAGCCCTAGTGCTCCCCTTGGGTTGTATGGCAGCTACATACAGAACGGATGTCACAGCTCAGCGATTTATTTATTTATTTATACCGCTTTGACATCACGGGTGTTTCTAATTAGCAAACGCCAATCGAGTAGTGCAGGTTCGTGCATTGACCTAGTCTACACTTCAGACTAATGCAACTTTGAATGCAGATAATGCGCTGTACCACAATTCCTCTCCAGCCGGATCAGAAGAGTACCACGATCTTATATAAGCTTTGTTCCGCCTCTGTGGCTTCTCCCCCCTAACCAACCAGAAATATCCCGCTCCTCACAGAATTGCGTATCCCAGCTCAATCACATCAAAAATACGTCCGTTAAGGGGCTGTTCAGAAACCGAATTATTTCAGTGAAATGACGGCATGGCACTGCTACACCCAGTTCGATAGCACACCACAACTCTCCCCTTCTTCTCTTGACTGTACTCTATCGTCTACTTGTTCCATTACCTGCAACTACGAACAAACTCACGCTTCATTCTGACCGTAACCTTACGATCGTGCCTGACGGTACGCCAACCACCATTTGGGAAGAAACACCATTATGGTAACGTGACACCCAGGCCACGTCATGCAAAAATATCTGTGCGTATTTTCTCTTCTTAGATAGGAACGATGTTTGCATGCTCCAGATCGATGCGATTTTTGCCAAAAGATATTTAAAAACCTGATTCAGAAGACTTTTCAACGTTCATCTCATTGTCTCGTCAATCACGAAATTAAGTAGGAACAGAGAAATGACACCATCGACGGACACCGCTTGTGTACGAAAGATTTTGGAGCTCCCTAAATCTTGCCGTGATATGTCTGCCCCTTCCACACCTGCTGTTCACGACAATGCAAACTACTGCTCGATTGACAACTCCACCAGAGCTGCATGCCCTCTCTTAAAAGATACCGCTTCCAGAGCAGCCTCATTATGAATTGAAAAATTCATAGATAGAAGATCTAAAACTGCTCACAGAGATTCAGAAAATACATGCCATATGACGCCACAGGAACAACTGTGATGTCAAATACCCTGGTTCCGCTTCTAAAACAGGCCAAGTCTCACAGCCATACAACAGAATAACCCGTTCTTCAACTTGATACATATGTTACTTGATATTCATGGATAGATCCTCTTAGGGGGCAAGATAGCTCTAGCGGTTAGGGCGCGAATCTACTGACCGGAAGGTTCGAACACAATCTCCGCCTCTCTACTTTCCCTGTCTTGGTTGAGCAACCTGGCAGTACTTCAGCCCTAGTGCTCCCCTTGGGTTGTATGGCAGCTACATACAGAACGGATGTCACAGCTCAGCGATTTATTTATTTATTTATACTGCTTTGACACCACGGGTGTTTCTAATTAGCAAACGCCAATCGAGCAGTGCAGGTTCGTGCATTGACCTAGTCTACACTCCAGACTAATGCAACTTTGAATGCAGATAAAGCGCTGTACCACAATTCCTCTCCAGCCGGATCAGAAGAGTACCACGATCTTATATAAGCTTTGTTCCGCCTCTGTGGCTTCTCCCCCCTAACCAACCAGAAATATCCCGCTCCTCACAGAATTGCGTATCCCAGCTCAATCACATCAAAAATACGTCCGTTAAGGGGCTGTTCAGAAACCGAATTATTTCAGTGAAATGACGGCATGGCACTGCTACACCCATTTCGATAGCACACCACAACTCTCCCCTTCTTCTCTTGACTGTACTCTATCGTCTACTTGTTCCATTACCTGCAACTACGAACAAACTCACGCTTCATTCTGACCGTAACCTTACGATCGTGCCTGACGGTACGCCAACCACCATTTGGGAAGAAACACCATTATGGTAACGTGACACCCAGGCCACGTCATGCAAAAATATCTGTGCCTATTTTCTCTTCTTAGATAGGAACGATGTCTGCATGCTCCAGATCGATGCGATTTTTGCCAAAAGATATTTAAAAACCGGATTCAGAAGACTTTTCAACGTTCATCTCATTGTCCCGTCAATCACGAAATTAAGTAGAAGCAGAGAAATGACACCATCGACGGACACCGCTTGTGTACGAAAGATTTTGGAGCTCCCTAAATCTTGCCGTGATATGTCTGCCCCTTCCACACCTGCTGTTCACGACAATGCAAACTACTGCTCGATTGACAACTCCACCAGAGCTGCATGCCCTCTCTTAAAAGATACCGCTTCCAGAGCAATCTCATTATGAATTGAAAAATTCATAGATGGAAGATCTAAAACTGCCCACCGAGATTCAGAAAATACACGCCATATGACACCACAGGAACAACTGGTTTCGCAAAGCTCAACGCATTTCTCTAGGGTGTAACAGCTTCAGGCTGATGTCAACTCATCGAACAAACACGCAACACCTCCAGACATACCTGATCTTATTTCACTAAAAGCTCCAAGCTACATTAGTTCCGCACAATCTAGTC